CTTTGATATCTGATTACCACCCACTCCTCCTTGGTTCATTATTTCTAGCTTTGATATCTGATTACCACCCACTCCTCCTTGGTTCATTATTTCTAGCTTTGATCTCTGATTACCACCCATTCCTCCTTGGTTCATTATTTCTAGCTTTGATATCTGATTACCACCCATTCCTCCTTGGTTCATTATTTCTAGCTTTGATATCTGATTACCACCAATTCCTCCTTGGTTCATTACTTCTTGCTTTGATATCTGATTATCACTTACTCCACCTTAGTTCATTCTATTTAACTCTGACACATGATAACCACCCACTCCTCTGAGTTAGTTTTCACCTTTTTTATCTAAGTTATAAGTTGACAGTTGATTAATTTGAATCACTAACATTGTTTAGCTACTTTTTATCTCAAGTGTATATAGTTATAGAAGTAAAACATGCCGACTTTGATACATGTGTGAATTATCTTCAAGTCATACGAACAAAAACATACAGCACTAATAATCCTTTACCACCAGGCGAATGTTTCCTCCCTTCAAAGTGAGGATCTCGGGACTGGACAAGAAGGCCAAGTATATTATGTTAATGGACATCGTTGCCGCTGACGATTGTAGATACAAATTTCATAATCGACGCTGGGTAGTGGCCGGAAAAGCTGACCCCGAGATGCCCAAGGGGATGTATATCCATCCAGACTCTCCCAGTACTGGAGAACAGTGGATGCAGAAGGTGGTGTCCTTCCACAAGCTGAAGCTGACCAACAACATCTCGGACAAGCATGGATATGTAAGTGGTTATTTGTATCAAAGAAGAAGAAATAATGAGAGCAATACTCAAGTTTAGGATCCCGAATAAAAGTAATAAGTTAGTCAGTGAATTGCGAATTAGCAAATATCTGTTATTCTCACATCTTTTGAAATGTTATTCCAATGAGCTACGGATAATTAATCAGGTAAGCCTAACTCACGCATTGTAGTGAGTAATCTGTAAAGTATAATTGAAACGTAATTTTCTGAGTAATTTCTTTTATTATTACAGTTTCTATTAGTTAAGAAAAAAAAAGTGGTAGGTATTAAGTGCTATTTATCTATCACTCTAGCCCCTCGGTGACTCAGCAGTAAGTCGGCAGGCTTACGACGCTAAAAATAGGGTTGCGATACCCGTGGAGACCTGGACACAGATAACTTATTGCGTAGCTTTGTGCTCATCAACAACCAAAACCTCTTAATGTAAAACACACACATATATTAAGTTTTATTTATTCTTCAAATCTAAAAGACACGAATATCGAATGTTATTTGTCTCTCAGGTGGTTAAGGCGCTCGATTCACAATCTGAGGGTCACGGGTTCGAATCCCCGTCCCCCCAAACATGCTCGCCCTTTCAGCCGTGGGGGCGCTATAACGTGACGATCAATTCCACTATTCGTTGGTAAAAGAGTAGCCCAAGAGTTGGCGGTGGGTGGTGATGACTAGCTGCCTTCCCTCTAGTCTTACACTGCTAAATTAGAGACGGCTAGCGCAGATAGCCCTCGTGTAGCTTTGCGCGAAATTCAAAAACAAACAAATAAAAAAAAATTGTTGTCTAAGATTTAGAATAACTTTTGGGTGGATAGAAGACAGATTTGTTTGTTTGTTTGTAATTATTCACT